CAATCTGGCATCAGAAGGTCCCCTCTATCCTAGGAATGATGTGGGAAAAGAGAACCAATTCCAGCATGGCTTGGGAGCAGGATGCCACCTCCAGCCCTCTTCCCCACCACCAAATGGCAGCTGGCACCTGCTCCATGGGAGGGTCCTACTGCCCCTTCCCCTACAGTTTAATTCCTCTCTGCTTCACCATCTTGCCCCAGCATATGACATCACCTTAGCTAAACTGCTTCCTGCATGCTGATCTGATAGTTTAGGGCTGACAGACTGGATGAGAGCTGAGGGAATGGCTGCCCCTCCACTGACCTCCTCCATCTGGCCTCTCTCTTGGACAGAAACTGGGAAGACGGTCAGTGAAGAAACAGTTCCTGGCACCTTTGCCAGGATTGCTTGTCCCACGGCCAGAGGATGGGTGGCACAGTGCCCAGGAGCTTTAGAGGGCCCTTGTTATGATACAAAACAAGAAAACCACTCTCAGCTCTGGACTCTTCACAATTTATCTTCTCCATTCCCAGCCTGGACCTCCATGAGAGCATATCAGCTGGTCCTTAATGTTCTGCTTGTACATAAACATCATACACACACATTCACACACGTGATTACACATGCTTACACATTTACACACACGCTTACATACCCTATTGGCTTAGGAGCTAAATGTTTTGTCCCTTGCTGATATTTCTGTGTAAGTTTTGGACACTTTCAACTCCTATCTGGAAACTGTCCTTTGTATCTCAAGTTGAAGCCTCTTTAATTTGATACTCTTTTTTATGCTGTGAACAATGTACATGGGACAAAAACACTGACCTCAACACAAAGTTCCCATAAAGATCAATTGAGATAATACATATGAATGTATTTTCTGGGGTAGAAAGGGCTAAGCAAATTAACTGCAGTCAAGTAGTCTGGCAGAGCCCCAGTTCATTTGCCCTTTGTGCAAGCAGTGAAATGAGGGTCCAGGGAGCCTACCATGCACATACTTGTTCTGTATTAGAGCTTTTTATAAAATATTAAAGAAAGTATTTCCTTTTTTTTTTTTTTTTTAATACCAGGAGCTTTGTTTGTTTGTTTGCATGTCATGTTGTTACTGTGGTGGGTAGAGGCATCAGAGGGGACAGGATGGTGGAGGGCAGCCATGGTAAGGAGAATGGTTCAGACAATGGTGCACAGTTGTGGTGCCCATGCCTAGTGACTGATTTCCAGCAAGAGACGAGGGAGCAATTAGATCCAAAAGCTGAAGAAGCTGAACTTTGTCTATCTGGTTTCAAATAGGTCTGCTGGGATCCTTGAGTTCAGGTGTGGTTCATTCCTACCACCCCCACCCCACCTGGGCCCCTTAGTGCACGTGTAGCTTCAGCACTCTGCAGATTCAGCAGACATGGAAAGCAGGCATCTCCACTGGCTGCACAGGGGCATTGGGCTTTGTGGGGTCCTGAAACAAGTTCTAGTGCATGGGGGTGGTGCTCTAGGGACTCTCAGGTGTGACAGGAAAGACTTTTAATGAGTCCTAAGTTGGGATGGTGCCCTGAAGTCATGGTCCATTCACCATGGCCTTTTGGAGGCTATTATTGACAGGACCTGACCACTTATGCCTATTGGTGGTCAAGGCCCAGACATTCAGTTAAAGATTATTATTTCATTCATAGTGGTCATCCCCAAAGGAAGATGCACTGGTTTCCCAGCCTGAAGACTCAGGCTCTTCTCCCTGATATCTCATGAGGTTTTGGATTATTATATCCTTGATTTCACATTATGCTAAAGGAACACAAAACCCAGACTCAGAACTTATAGAATTCAACTTCAAATATTTATGGAGCACCACTAGTGTTACCAATCCTGTTCCTACTATGGAGGAAGCACAGGAGATTAGCACTTCTGATATGTAGGATGTTTGGTGTGAATTTGAAGAAGGAACCTCCTTGGACCAAAAAATAAAAAAAAATAAAAATAAAAAAAGGCAAAATGATTCTTCCAATTGCAAAAAAAAAAAAAAGAAAAAAAAGAAAAAAAAAGAAAAGAAAAGAAAAAAAAATAAACCCCCTAAACCAAAAACCTTCCTTGGGCTGACCAACTATAAAAAGAGTTCATGGTTTGGGGATTTCAATACGTACCTTGCACAACATTGGTCCATGGGTGAAAATTCTACTCCTCCATAGAGAGCTTACAATCAAATTGGAGGAACAAGACAGACACAAAGGAAAATACACCTCATTGCATAAGTCTTTAAAAGGTTCTGTATGTGAGGAGGAGTGGGGGTTACCCTGTAAGTCGTCCTGAAGGAGGCTGGATAATTGGAAAGATAGGATTAAGAGTATGTCTTGTATGATATTTTTCCATTTCATCAGAGAAAAAACTCCACCACTCATAGCAATTTCAGGCAATGCCAAATTAATTCAAATATTTGGCTCAAAGAGTCCAGGATTCTATCTTCTATAGATCTCCTGTTTAAAAACTGTGAAATATCAAGGAAGTTGAAATCCATAAACTGACATCAACAGATTAGGGTTGTATCTTGAACTCCCCCTGGGTGGTGGAACAATGCTATCACAACAATACCAATGTGATAATAATTGGAATAACTACCATTTGTGGAAAAATTGCTATCTGCTCGGCATATGCTGTGTGCTTTGTATGTAATGCCTCATTTAATGATCATGATGCTCTTACAATGTATATATTAGCTTTCCAATTCTATAAATAAACAGGCTCAGAGTAAATAATGATAAGAAGAACCTATATGTTGTCCTTATTATGTTCCAGGCACCTAAAAAAAGATATCTATTTATCTCTATCTATATCTCTATCCTAATTAACCCTCATGGTAACTGTATGAAGTAGTTGTACTATTTTCACCCTATTTCATCAATGAGGAAAATATAACCTAGATTCAAACTTGCCTAAGATTCAAACAAAAAGATGCTTAAGGTCCTGTTGGCTGGCAAATGAGAACCAGAATTAAAACCCAGGCTGGTGGGTCACCAAAGTCCAACTTTTCATGCCCCATTGTAAGGCAGCATTACTCCAAGACTGCGATGGAAGGAGTCCTAACAGCAGAGGCATATACACATTGCCCCCGAGGGTCTGGGAGTAGAGCCTAAGGCAGCTAGCTGTCAGTGTGAAATTTCTTTGAAGCTGTGTGTTTTATCTTAGACATTTTTCTGTGAATTTTGCATTCTATTTCATAATATATATTTTTAACATAAAAAAGTAATTTTTTGATTTTTGCTGTTTTTCTTAAAACTTTGAAGTAAAAGATGCTCCCAAGAAGCTACACTATGTTCACCCCGATTTGCTTACCTCCTGGCCAATAGCTTACCTCCTGGCCCCTGGGTTACACATATGCCACTCAGGAAGAGTGTTTGAAGTGGAAAGAATGTTGCATTTGGAACCACACAGATCAGAGCTCAGATCCTGGCTCCATTTTGCCACCAAGTGCTATGACTTGGACAAATCACTTCATTGCTCTGAGCAGGTTCTCTTCATCTGTAAATCAGAGATAATAATATATGTATGCCTGCCAGAGTGACATTACAGAGAGTCAGGTAAGGCATCTGACACTTAGTGGGGGCTTGATAAATGGCGCCATTCCAATTGGCTACTTATGACTTGTATGCCTTTATCACCCCTTAATTACTGAGAGTACCACTGTGTTGAGCAAACCATCTCTGTGCCACTTCACAACCTGTTTTTGTTTTTGGTGGTGATAGAGGTGCTGCTCATTCTCCCGGGGGAGGAGCCCTGTATATATTTTGTGCTCCCTTACCACATCTGTGAGGCTTAGGTGGAAATTGGGGGCTTTCTGTCTCTCTTTCACCCAGATTTGGATCATTTGTTGGCTGAGAAAGAGTTCTTTCCTGTTGACTCATGGCTCTGCCCAGAAGAAAGGCCAGTTTGAAATGTATGGATAATATACATATGACATTCATATGATATTCAAACCTCTCATTTAAACACTTTCTAAGACCTTCTAAATCTGTAACCTAGGCTTAAACAGAGAAGAGAATCAACAGGTTGAATGGGTCCTGTAGAGTCAAAAAGAGCTCCTGTTACACTCTTGTGGCAACTTTGTTTACAGGAAAGTCAACTAATCTTGCTGAGCCTTAGTCTTCTCATTTACAAACTAAAGCCAACCTGGTGACATATGATCATTAAAAATTCTTTATCACACCAATTATAATGGTTTTCATTAAAAAAAATAAAAGGAAAAAGGAAGGAGCGTGTTGACGAGGATGTGGAGAAAGTAGAACCCTTGTACACTGTTGATGGGATTGTAAAATGGTGCAGCCACTGTGGAAAACAGTGTGGTGGTTCCTTGAAAAGCTAAGCTTACACTTAGCAAAAGATGCCACAATTTGATGCCTATGTATCTACCCAAAAGAATTGGAGCAGGGACTCAAACCAATAGGTATACACCAATGTTCATAGCAGCATTGTTCACAATAGTCAAAGGGTGAGAACAACCCAACATGAACAAATAAATGGATAGACAAAATGTGATATATACATACAATGGAATTATTCAGCCTTGAAAGCATGAAATTTTGATGCATGCTACAATATAGATGAATCTTGGAAACGTTATGCTAAGTGAAATAAGCCAGTCATAAAAGGATGAATATTGTACCATCCCACTTACATGTGGTACCTAGAATAGTCAAATTCATAGAGACAGAGAGTATCATAGTAGTTACAGGGACTGGGAGTGGGGTTGGAATGGACATTTATTGTTTAATGGACATAAAATTTCAGTTTGGATGATAAAACGGTTCTGAAGATGGCTATTGATGATGGTTACACAACAATGTGAATGTGCTTAATGCGAATGAACTCTGCACTTAAAATGGTTCAAATGTTAAATTTTATGTTATGTGCATTTTACCACAAAATTTTTTTTAGAGAATTCTTAGAGTGAAATATTTTTTTTTATTTTTCCCTTTCCATTCTTCACCAGAAGATCAGAAGTTAAGTCCCCATTGCTTTTGTTTTTTTTAAATATAATTTATTGTCAAATTGGATTCCATACAACACCCAGTTCTCATCCCAACAAGTGCCCTCCTCCCTGCCCACCACCCACTTTCCCCTCTCCCCCACCTCCTATCTACCCTTAATTTGTTCTCAGTCCTTGAGAGTCTCTTAGGAAAAACAGCTTTAAGCTTAGTCGGGCTTTGGGCTCCACAGACCATGGGGAGTGTGGGAATAGGGTTCCTGAAAGCCCATGCTAAGGCCTGATATGTAGTGTGACACCCTGGAAATTGGCTTTGGAAAACTGGCCTTTGATGTGCCCATGTGCTGGGGTAATGTCTAGTTATTTGCCCTTGGTGAGCAGTTAGGTGGGAAGTACAATTTCCAAAATCATCAGTGAAGCAAGAAGGGCATAAACAGCTCTAATGGGAGGTCAAAAGAAGTTTCTTCCAGATGTTGCTTGAATCTTTGCACGATGTAGGTGGTATAGGCAGCAGTGTGACTGAGGGAATCTGAAGGTTGAGGACTACATGAGTACCCTTCCACCAATGAGGCATTGCCAAGCACCGCCCTTGAGAAGCCATCTCATTTGTAATACATAGACTTTCAAGTATTCTTGTCTCCATCTTCTGATGCCTTTTCTCAGTTACCATCACCATTGAGGTGATCCAGCAAAGGTCCATAGAGGATTAAAGAGAAGAGAAAAGGAGAGTTTTGCAGACAAGGTGACAGGGATGGGGTTGGTGTATACAAACTAATGTCATAGAAAAGTGGTGGGGAGAGTAGACCTTCCTTTTAGACTTTCCATTCAGGGAGGAAGGGAGAGGAAGCCAAAGGATATAGTAAGACTCTAAAATCTAAGGGCTGCATGGTCATCACTAGGCAGTTGAAGGAGCCTGGAAGATTGCCCTGTTCCAAGTACCCAGCAAAACCTGGAAGTAGCAAGGTCCCATAAGCCACCAAGAGACTGTAAGCCAGACTGCCTACAGAGACTGGCTGTTCTTTCCTTGGGGTACTTAGAGGGTGACCATCCTTGGCAGCCAGAGCTTCCTCTTATGGCCACTTGGGAAGGTAACTATAGTCCGAGTTTGGCCTGAGATTTTCCTATTCCCCAAATAAATGACCCCATAGTCCATCTTCCCCCTGCTTGATAATCCTTCAGGAAAAACTATAAACCTGAGCCAAACATCAGCTGGGATGTGGACTTTAAGTTGAGTGAGGTGTTACCTGAATCAAACCTGTTAGAGACCCTATGAAGGAGAAAGCAGTTAAGGACATCCCTGGGATAAAAATAATGTTAATAATGACAATACTAATACTAACAATAACAAAGCTATCTCAGAATTGCTGACAGAACTATGTACAAGTATATAGGAGGTCTTGACACATAATGGTTATTTAATGTATGTCAGTTCATTCTCCCTCTTCCCTCTGGGAGGGGACACTAGGTCAAAACATTTCTCCCTTCCTAGTCACCCAGACTGTTCCTTCTTTCCCTTCACTCTTCCCTGGTCTCCTTCCTTTGCCTAATGTCTGCTATCCTCTTCCCCTACTCCCTCAGCCCCACATGCAACATCTGCAGAGGTAAATTTTACCTGTTGTTCCCCCATCAGACCCCACATGCTGCAGGCACAGCCACACACTCCCGCCTGGCTCCCACCTTCAAGCAGCTCCACTCCTGTGTGTAAAGGCAAGAGAGTGGAGTTCATTATCCCATTCATCTTCATGAGTTTCTCTTTGTTATTAGAAAGATATTTCTGTGTGGCACAAGAAAAATCCTAAGGAAGAAAAAATCCAAACCCTCAGATACATTTTCCCCCTGCTTCAGCGGCCCTCACACATTTCCATTTGGATTGATTGCCTACTATAGCCTCTGAGCTTTTGAACATCAAATTTCAAAACGGCGACATAAAAGAGTGAACATGAAATGAGCAGCTCGATTCTGCCCTCCATGCTGGGGGACATGTGTTCTTGAAGTGGAAGAGAGAGAGAGGAGAGTCTTGTCTCCCCCGCCTACATTATCTACTGAGGCTTTTGATACCAGCCCTTCTTGGGGCCCTGACAACAAGGCAAGGATTTAGAAAGCTTTTTCTACAAGCTGAGCCAGGCGCTGTGCTACTAGGTACTGTGGTATCTGAAAGTAAAGGATTTGGGGCTCAAGCAGATGCTTCACTCCAAGATGCAAGAAGGATTACACATGGGACCAAACCAACTAAAATGCAAAAACAACAAAAAACAACAACAAAAAAAACAAACTAGTAAAGCTTATAGGCAAGGAAATGTATGTGAAATTTAACATGGACAAATCTGAATTCAATTCCTTCCACCGAAATTTCTCCTTATTCTGTTACAATCACTATCTCTTAAAGGCAGCTACTATTTATTTAGTCACTTGGTCAGAAACCTGATTTCTCCTTCTACCTCACCCCTAAGCCTACAGTCACCATGTCCTGTTGATTCTATCTTCTAAAAATCTTTAAAACTTAATGCCTCTGCCTAATTCCCTGGCCCCAGCTCTGTCCAGGCTTTCACCACTTTTACCTAGACAACCAGAAACTCTCCTAACTCTTCTCTTTGCCTCCACCTCACTCCCCACTCCGTTTCCTTTTTAAAAATGTTCATTCCCTTTAAGTTACTAACCAAACTCTTTAAAATGGCATTCAAGGACCTTTAGGGTCTGGCCTTGCCCACCTCTTGTGTGTCATCTCTTGCCACGTGCTTTGTGCCTCAACCTTTCTCTTCCACGGGAGACTCCTTAAATAGTCTATGTTCTTTCATGCCTGTCAGCACAAACTGTCTCCCCTGCTTGGAACTACTATTTCTCTATACTCCCTTACTTAGTTCTCTTCTACATAGACTTTGAGATGCAGCTCATGCATCACTGAAGAAGTATCCCCAACATCTTCTCCCCTTCCTTCCCATAATTGGTGTTCCCACCTGTCCCTAGCACTCACGTTATATCAGTGGCAGATTGGTTTAGCAAGCTTTCATGGAGCAAGAACTGTGTCCTGTTCATCTTCATCTAGGAGCTGACTCAGTGCCTAATGCAGAGTGGAGGCTTCATAAAGACTGAGGAATTAATGACAGGAAGCAATCTGAGCAAAACCATGAGAATGGGAATTAAACATGGAATCTAAGAATACCAGGATGAGAAAAGATCTTGAACTTTTTCAAGTCCAACACTCATTCTGATGAAGTATGTGAACACTAGAGAAAGAAAATGGACTTCCTAGGTCTACATAAAATTAATTTTAACAGGTGGCTTCCGATAATATAAACCTGAAAGCAAGCAGAATCAAAATGGGTCATGGAATTGGAAATAAAGACTCACACTTTGAATTTGTTAAGTCAGTCAGGATTAGGAAGGACACAAGAGAAACTATCACTGAAAATGGGGAGAAAATGGAAAACCAGCTCCAGTCCTGGTTGAGGAGCCAAGAATGTAAAAGCTGGAAGAGTCTATAGAAACAGGTAAGTCCTACCTGAACCCAGGGAGAAAGAGGCAGCAGAGGATATAGTGAATGACATTGGGAAGTGGTTAGACTCAGTGTAAGAGAAGGTAGATCCCATGACAATTTTTGAGATAAGTTTTCCTCTAGGACTCTTTCTTAATGGTGCAGTATTTGTTACTTACATGTGAGCTCAATTCTATTTTCAAATGGTTGTCCTTCATGGCTTACATTGGATTGGACCTAACAGCAACATAGAGTCAGAATGAACTTAGTATATGAGTTTGGGAGCCTGGGCTAGTGGAGTCTGAGGAACTGTGGTAGGGAGCTAGGAGAGGAAGTCTGGATAGTTCTGGAGGACATGAGATGTTGATTTGAATGAGATTTGTTGCTACAGAGAATAGGGTGTCATTGTAGGCTTTCAAATTTGGAGAATGGCTTGTTTCCACTCCGATCCTTTTCCTATAGGATCGTGCCTTGGAACTTTATTATACTTATTGTTCCTTCTGCTTGGAATGCTTTTTCTCCTAGATATTCTCTCACTTGACCTCTTATGTTTTCACATCCCTACTCAAAAGTCATGTTATGAGGAAAGCCTGGCTTATAGCTGGGTTCAAATCTGCCACACTCTCCATTACCTACCTACCTGCACCATGATGTATTTCGTTGTTACACTTGCTGCCCTCTCATCTACTATAAGTCTTTTCCTTGTTTATTTGTTCATTGTCTATCACTGCCCACTAGAAAATAGGCTCCATGGTGGGAGCTGGGGGACATATTTTTGTCTGTTTTGTTCACTCCTGTATTTCCAGCTCCTACACTTGGCACATCCTATGTGTTCAAGAAACATGTCTTGAATACACATAGGGCCATACACTTGGGAATTTTCAGAATGGAAAGACAGCTTGCAGCATCCTCTTAACTTGCTCTGTGATGGGATTGCAGCAGGAGGACCCAAGGTACAATTATGGGATTGCCACTTTGTGCAGGTAGACAACATCCACTCTATCTTGATTTTAGCATTTCCATGCTACATCTACCCTAACACTTAGGGCCTGCTCCTTCTCATCTAATGTCCTGTAGTGGTCGTGACTAAGCAGAAATTGTTTCTAGAGGGTTCTTCATCACAAATTATATGTCCTCAAACCCTCATACTCTCTTAAACTAATGGGTAAGTTACCAATGAGAGGAAAGAGGAATCTCTTCCTTCCTTCCTTGATTTTTTTTTTTTTTTTGTAAATGGTCTTCTGATAGTAAGTTATCCTCTTCCTTTCCTGATTTTCAGGGATTCTTGCCAGGTAAGGGGTTTGTAAGCAACTGAAAAGCAGAGACTCCCCTTTACTCTTTGTATTTCTGCTATGTGTCATCATACTGTTCACCTAAGTGGGCACTTAATAAAGTACTCACATGAAGAAGAGAGCAATAGACCCGACCTGGGAGAAAGCGGTGTTTGAAATAGGACTGCTCTCTCAATGATAGTGTCTGTGTGACACTTGCTTTCTCATCCAAGCCCTAGAAAAATGAATCAAACACTCTCCCTTTCTAGAAAATCTTTGTATAGCTTTGGGTGATGTGTACGTGCCTGCCAATGTTCCAGACAGAGATTTGGATAAAGATTCCCTGGCTCTGGTCCTTTCTTTATTTTTCCAGAACACTATATTTTGTTTCCCTTTTAGCTGCTGTTATCCTCCTTGAAAAGTCTGATAATTCCCAAGAATGCCAACTGTGAAACACAGCCTGCTGTGGTTTCCTTCACACAAAGCCTCTTTCCAAACACACCCATAAGTCCCGAAGCTGCCTTTTCTCTCCCTGCCTCACCTGTTTGTGAGGTCCTCTGCTCTTTTCCTGACTAGCTTTAGTTATTCACTGCAGGTCACTGCCTGAATTGCTCTCATCAATTTACCATTTGTTTATTGAGTACCTCCGATGTGCTCAGCACTGGGGATATAAAGATGAATTAGCTTTGGCTTCTGTCCCTGTGGCTCTGACATCTGGTGGGCCAGTAGACCTGAGGTCAGATATTTGTCAATAAGTGTTCAGAGTGCTCTGTACAGACAGGGAGAGGCATGTTTGGAACATGTGAGCACTAGAATGTCATTGGCTCACTCCGCCTTGGGTCTGGAAGGTGTCACAAAGAAGGTGACTTTTGAGCAAGGTCTCCAGTAATCCAAGTTTACTATATTTGACTACAGAGAATGCTTTGACCCTGAGAAATTTTAAACATATTTCACAATCTCTGGATTTTTAACAGGCACCCCACAAGACAGTTCTGTCTCTTTCTGTCAATTTCAGAGACTGAACATGTCTTTTACTTTATTTTCCTCTGTGATGCTTCACTCTTCTCTGGATACTTTCAGCCTGGCATTCAAGAACCTATTTGTTTTCTCCTGGGTACTTCACTCACTAGTTGGGTGTGTGACCATGTCCTGTGCACTTAAGTGTCTTTGATTATACTCTCTCTGAGGAGATAAGCTACAAAGTAGACATGAAGTGTTTCACCATTTTCAGACGGGCCAAATAAACTTCCAAGGGTTCAATCATTCTCCCAGTCTTGTGGTTCACTTAAAGAATTTAGGACTCTAGCCCTTGTTCCTTGTGGGTGGATGGTCTGCTCTCTCTGATGGACTTGAAGAGTAGAGATGTTCCCTTCCTTTTACTTATCCCATAAAGTAGCCCGTGGTGGTTAGGGAGGCAATCTCCTCCTGAGTAATAATTTTTAATAATGTAAGAGGTAGTGACTGGCATGAGTAGCAGCTAGGTTAGACTTCTGCATTTACAGTTTGCTGTGGGAAGCATTTTTGAAGAAGAATGGACTCCCCAGGGTGTTCATCTGTGCCTTTGAGAACCTTACCCAAAAGGATAGGAGTCAATATGCCATAGCCTACTATCACAGCCAGTGGGGAAGCAGTAGTCCTGGAAGGGGAGAATAGATCCCATGAGACTTAGTAGCATAAAACCAAGGTCACTTTGGGAACTGAAGTAGATGGAACCCAACTAGAGTTCAAATAATTCAGTGTGAAATTCTAGCACATGAAAAGCTTCTTAGAGCTTCCTGAGAAGTCTGTAAGTCCCATCTGCATCTTGCCTTGGGCAGGTAGAGTAGCCAAAGACAGTACCTGTGCTCTTCAGTGTATCCAGATATTCTAGGAGACAGGCAAAGGTTCAGATTCTTGATATAAAGGGTTCTAAATACTGGCTCCCTGCCCCACTGGCAGACTTCCCCCTGGTCAGGTATCATGGGCTGGTGAGCTGCAACCACAGCTACATTAGCTACACACAGATCAGAATCTCAGTGTATGCACAAAAGTGATCAATTTATCCTTCTACTTGATGCTAAGTGAGGGAGGGTGGGAGTGATATAGTGGTCTGTTTGTGGAAGGAGAAAGAAAGTTCTGTAATTCTGAGAGGATTCGTGGACCTTGAGGTATGAGGTTGGGCCCTTTGTAGTCTCAGGGTATTGGGGGATATTTGATCCTGGCAAAGACCAGCTCAGAGCTGTGTCTTGCTGTGGAAGAACTATAGAAAAGAAGCTAAGAGCATAACTTTTAATGGCAAAGGAAATTTTATGTCTGGTAGAAAAATCACAGGTCTGAGACTCCGAAGATGTGAAAACCAGCCCAGGTCTGACCTCCAGGGGCTCCAAGACCTTGAACATGCTCCTCAGGGCCTCTGAGCCCTGGTTTTCTCATTCAGCAGGGACAGAGAATACTATTCCTTCCAAATCATAGGTAGTCACATGGATAAAATGGGCTGACCCAGACATGTCAGCTTCCCCTAGGGAGATCTGAAAACTGATTTCTCAGTAACTGGGCAGAAGGGCCTAGAGCAGTGCCATTCCATAGAAATATAATGTCAGCTGCAAATACAAGTCATGTATGTCCTTTCAAGTTTTGAAATAGCCAAATTTTAAAAAGTAAAAAAAAAAAAAACAGGTGAAATTAATTTTAATAATACATTTTATTCAATACAATATATCCCAAATATCAGTTCAATATGTAATCAATTGAACAGATATTTCACAACCTTTTGTTCATACTAAATCTTTGAAATCTGGTGTGTCTTTTGCATTTATGGCACATCTCAGTTTGGGCATTTTGGATCCTTCAGTAGCTCAAGAGCTACATGTAGCTGCTGTGTTGGACAGCACAGGCCTGGAGGACTGGTTTGAAGCTGTGTAGGTAGCTCCCCAGTTAGCCAACCCTTCCAGCTCCTCTCCCACTTCTGTTGAGATAGGCTTCCTGGGAGGGTGAACTTTGAGTTTTGAGGTTAATGGGCAAGAGTCAGTAGAGGGAAACAGGGAGACAACTCCCAGAGAAAGAATAGCAAGGATGAGGGTTGAGAGGTAGCAGAGAGTGTGGTCACCCCTCAGGACCCTTTCCTACTCATGGGGGAGCTCTCATTGTTTTTATAGCTTCAGATCTATTTACATTCCCCACTTAGGGTTCATACAACCAATTTACACTTGTTTGCATGATGTGTTTGTTTTCTTTTTCTCTCTTGTCAAATGCAAAGAAACCTACTTCAGGGGGCCAGTTGAGGCCTTGCTTTCTGGGTTAGTCCTGGACTGTATAGCACAGTTCATTCGCTGCGACACTCTGTCTCCTCACTGTGTGCCTCATTCTCTCCCTCTGTAGAATGGAGTTAATCATGCTTATTCTTGACCTACCCTGGCCCCAAGGAAGAGTGCAGAAATGAATGGGAATTAATATGTGTGAAAAGTGCTTGAAGCAAGGAAGAACAGGATCCTTAATGCAAAGTATTTAATTATTCATTTGGTTTTTCAACTCTACACACACTACCTTAAAAGGTCTCTGACATAAGGACTTCTGGAGGCCCCTATTGAACTGACCTTACAAATAATTTGCCATGCTCTCATTTCACATGCACCTGCTCTGTCAAGGGAGCTGTTGGAGATGTAAACAGGGCAGAGCTGTGGCTGAATGAGGAGATATGCTGATTCTACCTCCAGTGTCTCAGGGCCCTGTTAGGTGTGAATTTGTTGTAGCATCCAAGCACTTTCCTCCCTGAGAACAGGAACAATCTTGTGACCTTTAAGATTTCAGCCTCCTGCAAGAACAGGGCCTGTTACCTGGAAGCCTCCGCATGGAAACCTAGAGCATTGCCTTTTATAAAAATAGTGTTTCATAGAATTGACATGCTTTGTTCCAAATGATGAGATCTCCCACCCAGCAGTGTAATTGGGTTTTCGTTTAGTAACTTGTACAGATCTTTTCACTGGAGAACACAACCAGCCTCTGAGAAAGAGCCAACAAGACCTCAGACAGTAAAAACAAATATGAAAGTGGTGGGGATCACATTATAGAAAAAAGGAATGGGAAAAGTGCCCCGTCTCTTTGATTTCAAGAAAATTGATGCAAACCTTCCTTTCACATGCCTTCTGTTACCCCACAAAAATACCTATTCTCTGCCAGTAGTTGCTTTGTTGGGAGAACGGCCTTTTTGGATACAGCTGAGGCAGAAGGGCCTTCCTGGACCAGCCTTAATAAACAGTATCCCTGGCCTCTGATGGGAGGTCATTAGGTTTAGAAGATGTCAACTCTTTGCTCTACAAGGTTCATACAGACTAGGCCACCTGAGGATTGGTGCTCTCTCTTGAGTACCTGACATCAAAATTGTAACTTGCAGGACATTGTTAAGAAATTGGGCTTCCTTGGAAGACCCTGTGTGAGCATATAGGTGCAGGCATTCAGGCTGCATTTTCTCCTGTGATTTACAACTGACAAAACACATTTGTGACCGTGTAATCATCACTACAGTCCTACATGGTAAATACTCTCAGCCCCATTTTACAGATGAGGGCTCAGAAGTTACAAAAATTTAGGGAGATGGCCCAAGCCACATGGTTACCTGGTACTTCTACTGGAATGAAAGGCACTTCCTGCAAACCTAAAGGAGATGTTTTGGAGAGTAATACAAGGAAGCTAACTTTACAAGATGGAAAGTGAACACAGGAAATCATCTGAAAAAACACAGATATGAAATCCAGGTCTTTACAGTCAAAACCCCGTGTGTTTTCCATTCTTACACACATTTCTGTGTTCTCACACATGCTTATACAGAAACACACAGTTCATCCCTGAATATAAATGTATTTTTGATATCTTGGTGCTATTGTCATTCAAGATGTCCATGCACAACACTGTAAGTAGAAGGATATCATTCTATGAAACAGAACAAGGTAGTTCTTAAGCATCTGAATTTGTGCTTTGGGTGTCTTCCCTCAGGCATATCCAGGATTGTGTATTGTTCTAATCTAATCTCTGGGTGGGCCTTAGTGAAACCCCTTTCAGTATATAAAGATTCATGCTGAAAGTGGATATGGTCTGAGCTTGACAAATGGTAAGGGCATGAACTGCCCTTCACATCCCCACTAGGATGAAGGACACCTTTGCCTACCTGAAGGAGGTAACTTTTAGATTAGTGAAAGAAACATTAACTTTATAAGTTAGGAAGTGGGCATAAGGAGGTGGTGACATTAAGGAGGACCATATGCAGGGGTGTGTGAGGGGCTTTAAGAAGAGACCAGAAAAATAGAAGGCAGATCCCCAGACCTCTGACCATGATACCAAGGCTAGAACCACACCAGTCCCTGAGTGTTTGAGAGAGATGCTGTGGCTGGGGGTCTGGAAAGCTTGGGATCCTTATGTTGCTTATGTTTTTTGCTTTGAGTTTGCAATATTAATAATTCCTTCCAGTTTTTCTTTTTCTTGTCTCTTAACCTTGAAAAGAAAATTTGGGGATCACAAGAAGCCTATTTGCTGGACTTATGCTAAAGAGCTGAAAAATGGCCTCAGTGCTCCAGTCCACTGAGAATAACTGGTTGGTGGAATGGGGGACATGGGAGCAGAAGTTAGCCCTTGACAACCAGTTACTCCGTTCATCCTCACAAGATCCTGGAAGGCATCCCCAAGGCAGAGAACAAACATCATTACTTTTTAACATTGCTGGAAATGAAATCTTTAGTAGCCAGGGAATTTTCTCTAGACATGTAATTCAGTAAAATGGAAGGAATTCTTAGACCTAGATCAACAGCCAAGGAAGGGTGAGAAACTCTGATTGTCACAAGGCAAAGATCTCTTGCTCTTTGCATGGCCAGCACCCCAAAAACCCACTTCTGCTTAGAAGCACATGCCCTGCAATCTTCATGTATCTCCACCTGAGCAGATAAGGTTCTTCTGGGAGACCCAGAAGACACAGACCGTCACAACACACACCCCACTTGCTCCCAACACTGCATTTACCTGACACTCAATTCACTGTCTTTGGAGCAAAATTGTTTTGTCTTTTCAATATCTTTTCAACCAAGGCAGAAACAGTGGTGATATTTAAGCCTGAGCTCCTAATCCATTATCCCACAGGTGTCCTTAAGTGAGGAAAGGAGCATATGAGGACTTGCTTAGCAGAGATAACCATTACATGTGCCACATAAATATAAACTATGGAAAGAGCTACTGAAAAGTGTAGACAAGTTTGAGAAACATCCTAGTTAGACACAATTTTGGCTGTCATATGTTTCCTCTACTCCTCCCTCCCTCATTCCTGTCACTGGCATGAAGAAGGTGGGAGGCTCTGTTACTTTTACCTGTAAAAGAGTGGCTGTCCTCATGCTGATCCCCAATGTATCCAGGCTGTCATCAACAGGAGTGACTGTTTTTAATCTCCCCACTTGCCTGTAATGAGCATTGCATATGGTCCTCTCTCGACTTTGATCTCCAGACTGGGGAGCCTGATTGCTTGGTTTTGCTTCCAGGCAGTAACACTTACTACCTGTGTGAACTTGGACAAACCACTTAACATCACTGTGCTTCATCTTCCTCGCCTGTACACTGGAGCTAGAAATGAAACACATGCCAGAGGTTGCTATACTGGTTGAGTTGACATTTTGGAGACCTCATTTCAGGGCCTGAGGACTACTGAAGTGATAAGTAAATAATTCTTGCTCTGACTCAAGTGTCTTACCCTACAGAACATTGGCCACTGCTTCCTTCTCTTGACACTGGCTTTCACTCCCCAGCTAGACATGCCTTCTGCTCTCAGGTCTCTGAAAAGCTGTGTAGAGTGTTCTCTGAGGCTCTGCAGAGGAATAAAGAACTACTGGGGTCAACACAACATTTGCTCAAGCTCAAACCAGCTCATTCCCTTTCATCTCTTGTCTGCCTTGCCTTCCCCGGCTGGCCAGAGCTCACCTCCCCTCCTTCCTCTGTGCTTAAGATTCTGGGGGTCTTCTCTCTGCCCTTTGTGTCCCTGTGATTCTTGGTAAGTTGAATATCTGGACCTCATATATGCGCATGCACAATGATTTATCTCTATTTCCCTGGATTCTGCTCTTTGTCCTAACCTATGTGCTTTCTGCCTGGAAGGGAAGGTCTCTATATCTCCTGAAGATCCACCAGCTTGCTGGTCTAACACCTTCCTGGTCTGTGCCCTGCCAGTGTGGCCCTGGCCCCACCCCACTGCAAACTAGCCAGGTACAAAATCATCAAAGATGCACCCAGACAAGGTACACTGGGAAATACTTAGAAGAACCCAATAAAGGATTTATCAGGAGGCATCTCCATCCCTTTAAGGATCTTCTGAGAAGGGTGGGCACCAGAGGTTTAATGGCTTTCTGTTTTTAATAAAATTTCCCATTAATTAAGAAGAGCAGTACAGGCTGCAGCCCTGGTCATATTATTTGTCTTTTTATTTTGTAGTTACCTGGCAGTATCTTTAGTGCAGGAGCCCTGGAATTATACACTGGTCCCTAATATTCCAAGACCCAACAGGAACAAATATGCAATTATATAGTTCAGTGGTGCAATGCCACAGCAGTGTGGGGAGAGGTGGGAGGCACCACTCCAGCTCTTGGAAAGTTCCTTCACAAGTAAACTTTAGGCCCTGGACTTGAATATCTTTCAAGCCAAGGACCCTTTCCCCTGTATCCAGTCTCTGCCTCCACCTGCCTCCAGTCTGAGCATAGGGCATCCTTCCAGGTCTTTCAAGACAAAAAGAATACAGGGAGAGAAGAGGAAGAACTACTTTCTATGTGCCAGAGACATCTCCCTAAGGTGCTCACAGCAATCCATATGTACAGAGTAGGTAATGTAGAGACGCAGCTTTGGCAGTAAACCACTTCGGTTTATGTGCATAACTTTAGGGAAATTCCTCATCTTTTATGAATCAGGGCTTCCTTGTCATCTAGAAAATGTGGATAGAGATGACACCTGCTTCAAGGCTTGTTCAGAGGGTCAAATGAGATAATCCAAACAAGGTGTTTTTTTTTATTATGATCCCCATTTGACAGATGAGGAAATTATGGCCCAGAGAAGTTAAGGAACTTGTCTAAGATCATGCAGCTAGTAAGTGATGTTAGTTAGGATTCTAGTCCACAGTGTGTCTGGTCTGTTGTTTCCTTACCCTTAAACTTTGTTGCAGGAAAGTGGCAAAGTTAGTGGCATGAACTGTCAATAATGGTGTCTGACTGTGGTTTAGGAAGGGAGACCTGCTGTGCCTTACTTTTTGCAAGGGACAACTGGCTTAGAATCAAAGGGACTGAAAGGGATATCCCCAGGACATCTTGCAAAAGTCATAGGATTCTTCATCTCCTGTGGCTGTCTCTGAGCACCTCATGCATAGTGAGAGCAGGATAACAGTAGTTCAGATCATGCTTTTCTGAGGGGGTCTCACAGCTGTGTGTGCATGCATATGTCCATGTGTGTGTGCGTGTGTGTGTGTGTGTGTGTGTGTGTGAGTGTGTGAGCATGTGTTTCTGTGTGACTGTGTGATGTGAGTTTGTGTGAGAATGTGCATGTGCATGTGTGTGATGGTGTGTGTATGTGTTTCTGTGTGAGTGACTGTATGCATGTGTGTTTATGCCTACATGTGAGAATATGCAGACATGTGTGATTGTGGACATGTGTGAAGGATTATGTGTCAGTGTGTGTGTGTGTGTGTGCATGTATGTATATTTGTGTGAGTATGTCTGTGTGTGTTATTGAATGGGGGGTGTCTGATGGGTCCAGGAAGGCATCATAGAGCCAGAGGTTTCCATGGTAGCTGAGATACCCACGGTCCTTAAATAATTAACCAGCCAGAGCTTTTAAATACATTTCAAAACAAACACTCATTTCCCTTTAATGTGGTGCTGATTTCCCCTTTTACGCACTGCCCGCGGCAATGCAAGCTGACTGTAATTCTGGCTCTGATGCGGTGGCAGCATCTTTGGTTGTCATGGGAAGCAGCTCCTGTTGTCAGGGGGCCAGCTCAGAACTTCACCTAGTCCACAGGAAGGACAATGGGTGAGAGGGAGGAAATTCTGCTTCCATCCCTCTTCTGTTGGTGGCATTAGGAATATCTAAGGGGTCAGCTGCAACTTTGCCCCTGCACACGTGAAACTTGCTAGCTGTCCAATAGACAGGTTTTTCTGTGAGTAATTTTCACCTGCAGACACCTTCTAAGCAACTAATCTTTCCTGGCACACAGCCTTTTGTTTTTTTATTATAGACTACCCTGACCAGGGCGAGTAGATATAGCCTTCCTTGTTCCTTTCCTGCCTCATCTGTTTATGTACATACTCACATGAGGTATATGCACTACCTTGGTGTGCCTCTACCTAAAATCCATGCCCTTTGTTTGCCTCCTTATGACACCTAGAGCTCCACAAAGCCCCGTGTATGTGTGTAGGGTGGGGTGGGGAGGGAGAATGCTAAGTATATTGAGTTTTGCTTGGTCTGGGACTAATGTCTGACCTTTCTGGCATTGTAATTTGGGTCAGTGAGCAAAATTTGAGGGAATCTCAAAACCAAAGCATCAGTGGCAAGGCCCCTGAGCCAGGGCTTTCACCACTGGGGAGGTTGGCCTGGCTGTGATGGCTTCCCTCCTAGGGAATGTCTGGGTCATCAGTCACTATCCCTAACTGAATGTCCAATCAAAGGAGGCAGTGGTCATGGTTCTAGGCTATATGTCAATAATAACATAATAATAATGAAAATGATGTCCCTATTTGTTGAGTGCTCACTATATCAGAAACTCTGGGTTGGCACTTTAACCTGTATTACATCTAGCAATATTCACATTGACCCTATGACCAAGTACTATAGTTAGAAGGAAGCAGGCCCAGAGAATTTACTTAACTAGACTGTGGTAACAAGAATGGCCAGTGGTGGAGTTAGGATTTGAACTTAGATATGGCGAGTGATTTAGCCAATGTGCTCACCTGCGTGAGCAGATTTCCAGCTTAGATAAAGGGATCTGTTCCAGTCCCTAAAGCTGAGAAGACATGGTTGAGGCCCCAAAGTCTCCAGGGGTACCATGAACCTTAGGCTTGAAGACAGTATAGAGCTGACAGTCATAGGGCACAGCAGAAGGAGACTCGATGGGGCCAGGCTGGAGGGTGAGCCCACAGAGGGACAGGGAGAGCATAGGACCCTGGAGGTGCCTCACAGCCAACGACACTGGGGAAGAAGAGGGTGGGCACTCAGGCTCCATGAGTGGCTGCTCTTTCAGACTCCAGCTGTGAGGAGTTGGTAGTTGCCACAGCTGATTATGCTCTCAGTCTGCCCAGCTGGCTGATGATCCAGTCAATTCAATCACTGTGGGCCTGATTGGTTTCTATAGGCAACCCTGTATGATGGTTCTACAATAATCCTTGTCTGACAGGGAAACAGAAGCTCTTAGAGGACAAATTGACTTACCCAAATCTGGACAGTGAGGCTTGGTTTAAAGTCCACACCTTTAGGCTCCAAATTCTGAGGTCCCCTGTACTCATATGGATTGGTGTGGAAAAGAAAAGACAATCCAGGAAAGAAGTATGAGGACAACACCAAATAGGAGTGATCATGGTCATGTAAGGTCCCCATGCTTCCCACAGGCCTGGCAAATCTCCTTGCAACCCAAGGCTACCTAGGTAGTAGGCCCCTGCCTAGGCTGGGTGCCTGAGATTTAATATATGGTCAAATAGCCTTTTAATGTGGAATGCTGAAATGGCAGAAGTACCAGAGTCAAATGCACAAAGTCCCAGGCTAAATGTCTTCATATAGTGCCTGAAGAACCAAGTGAATGGGGAAAACACAAACAGGAACATGTAAAAGAGTAAAATACATGCTAAATTCCCATCAATTTTTCAAAACATTTTATTATGGAAAATTTCAAAAATATTCAAAAGCAGGTAGAACTCATTCATTTTTTTAACTTTTTATTGTGAGACACACACGGATCTGTAAGAAATAGTACAGAAAGATCCTGTTTAGCCTTCATCTAATTGTCCTCAATGGTAACTTCTTACAAAGCTATAAAGTGATATCATGACTAATTAACATTGTTACAACCAATCAAACTTATTCAGATTTCATCACTTCCATGTACGCTCATTTATATGTGTATGCCTGTATACTTATTTCTATGCCATTTATAGTGTGTGTAAATTCTACTTTTGTAGATGCATGTGATCCCCAGAGTCAAGATACAGGCCAGTTCTCTCATAGGGATCCTTCATCCTTTACAGCCACAGCCACTTCCCTACCTATTCCTCCTCCCTAACCCCTGGCAACCATAATCT